AAAGATGTGAATTTGGGCACAAATGGAAAGCATAAATTTTAAGGTTCCAAGATGAACCAAGACCTGTTTTTGTTCCTATAATTGTATAGCAAGGTGACTTGTTTTTTTGGAATTCACTTTTGAATGGCATTATTCTTTTAGTAATTATCTATTTTACTTGCCTTTTTATTTGGTTTGTAACCACTTCTGATAGCTTCTCTTTGCTCTGTAGGTTTATTACCCTCTCCTCTATCTTTAAAGGACTGTCCGTTTACAAAATGGGATTAAAAGTCATTGTTTTACCTGGTATTTAGTTTAAGCTGTATCCGTTGTTATCCCAGGCCTGAGAAAGGGTCCCTTTGTGCCAGAAAGTTTGTCTAACATCTTTCCCAACTATACAGTTGGTCAAATAAAAGACACTATCTAACAAATCTTGCTTCTTACATATTCCCTGGACCTCCATGGCTATTGTGTTCCTCTTACAGAAGAAATTGAACTCAGGAGCCAACAATACATGTTGGAAAAGTTATTATGTGAAGTCAAGACTAAGAAACTTCAGATGATCTCCCACAGGGAAATCTGTATATATCTGCTTGCCTATTGGAAAAGTAATACCTTGGTCTTACTACTTACAAAATTATTTTTGTATACAGTCTCATGCACGCTAGTCGTCTTGATCTTGGTATAGATTTAATAGGGGAGTAAAAATCTGTAACAACTGAAAATTGTTCTGACCAAGTTCTCTCTTCATTTAAGAGATGGGAGAATCATTTTTGGGCTCTCTTTATTGGAAACCAGAGTTAAAAAGGGAATACACTTAACCCTCTGAGTTCATAATTGATTAATAGGATAAATGTATCTGTTGAAGATTTTTTTTTTTGTGATTTCCTAGTTGGCCTAATAAAAGGTATCATCTCTGAACCAAGAGTTCTAGACTTTTGCATTTCTTTTTTGTCTCAGACCAACACAGCTACCAAAGCCATCCCTGGATTACAGGGATAATTTGTTTGTAGAAAATACAGAACCAGTTTTACCAGGAGATATTTTTAAATAAGGTTTTTCTCCAGTTTAGCTTGACCGAACTCATTCTTGGATTCTGTCCATGTTTCTTTACATCCAACAAGTCTTGGTATCATCCTGTTTGTGGTCAGATAACATCCACATGTGTGCAATAACTGTACTTCAGTGTCTGAGCCAGCTGATAAGATCACTTAGTGCTGAGTTAGAGGTAAGACTGTGAAACTTCTTAACTGTGCACAAACTGCTCTCTGATCACATAACTTATTTATTGCTTGGGGAAAGAGAGACAGATGGTTACAAGGCTTTCCTGTTCTTCACTGATAGCCTCCCGTTTCAGATGATTAAAAGGGCTCCTTCATTACCATACTTAAAAATATTTCTACCAAACCAAAAACTGGCCTATGGACACAAGCATCACCTATGGTTTTGGAATAGGTTTAAAAGTGGGAAAGGGAGACAGGCAGTTCCTTGTCTCAGTCTATGCTGTGGCGTAGCAGAGAGAGAATCACAACTAGCTAAGGTATCCTGGGATATTAACATTTGTGGTCTCAGGAGTCCTATAATCTGACAGACACGAATTTACTTTACAGTAAACTGAAGTCTTATTATTTCGACAGACATGATGGATTAAAGAGAAAGCATCATTGACCTGGTTCCACTTCGTTAGGCTTTTCAATTAAACACGATGCTATAGAAAGTGAGACCCTGCAGTAATACAATGGGCAAGCAGCGCTGAGGCTTTAGTAGTGTGCCTTATACTTTAAAAGATGTTTCTTAACAGATTTGGTTTGAGAGCTAATCCCTGAACACTAATGATGTAGCTTCTTTTTATTCTAGCCTCTTAATTAACAAAGTAGACAATTTTTTGTGTGTGCGCACTTTAGTGTTTTAACGTTTTTTTTTTTTAATAAGCCTCAGATCCCTGGGCAGGTCAAGAAAAGGGCCCTGATTTCTGCACAGATGAAGGCATTGCAGAACCCTGCACTTAAATATATTGACACATTGCTGAAGTGGGTTGCATGGTTCATCAGAATGAAGCTTTGATTTAAAAAAAAAAAAAAAAAGAAGAATTGCAAATACTTTTGAGAGCATGGGGTTTTTTTTTCCATCTGTCCTACCAGCCATACACATTGGCAAATTTCTGATGAACATTTCTAAAAGTTTAAAGGAGGCACAGCTCCATTGTATTATGCTGGGGGTGGGGTGGGGTGGAGAATAGGAAAAATGTTAAAAGACAAAATAGTAAGTAAAAAATGTTAATGTCCCATTATGTCTGTAGTGAAGGGTTTTTGATGATACCTTGTATTGGACCAGCTGTGTAGCTGAGAGAGATATTAAATAAGCTTTCTTTAAGTCCCAAGGTGCCCTTCCTCAGGTCTTCCAGCTATAATAACACTCCAATGCTACTCCATATTGTGTGTGAGAGGGATTACTATCCCTTGAGTTTCTTCCATAGTTACATGGTCTCTCTAATATTGTTATGACAGTACTCCCCTGGCCCCCCACCCCATGCCGTCAAGTGTGGTAGGTTGTGTAGGCTTTGGATGGGATAGCAGAAGAGGTTCTTATGAAAGGAACGTGATCTTTAGAAGAAAATATATCAGAGTCCTGTGCTAAAATCAGTGTATTTTTCTTTGGTGTTGGCTTGGCTAATCAGCAAGGGCCTAGACATACCCCCTCTTACCTGTGCTGTAAAGAGTAATGACTATTCATTTTTGCTCTTTTACAGGACCAGCCTCCCAGTCCCTACACTGGCCTGGAGACCCAGGTTAGTATGATCTTTTCTTGCGTATTTGTTTGATTTAAAGGGATAGCCTCACTTTCTGGATGATGGGGGTTTCTCAATAATCTCATCACTCCAGGTCTTAGCTGAACTTAATTGAAATCTGTATCTTTTACTTGTCACCGTTCCTATGGAATTTGGACTGAAGGCTGACCTGAGCGGAATGTGGAAGGAGAATACCGAGCTAGGTCTAAGAACCCTTAATGTGATTTATCAGCAATGAAAACAATATACCCTTGACAGAAAGAGGTAGGGACATATTGTGAGAGCAGCCAAGGACCTGTAGGATCCATTGAAGTGGGGAATAGGAGGAAGATTACCGCACTGTCAGAACAGAGCATTCATTTCAACCCTGAAAGTGAAGTAGCCATCAGTATGTAAGACGCTCTGCTCTTCCCTTCTGCACAACTCGACTTCCCAGACAGTGCATTGTATGTAAAGATCTTGGCTATTCCTAAGAGTATTGCAAATTGTATTACAGACCTGCTCCTGCAAAATAACAATGAACTATAATGAATCCGTCAAGATGCTTGGCATCAAAAGGTCAAAGTGACAGAAAGGATTTTACAAAGTCACAAACTCTTTGATTTGTGTTTCCTAACAAGGCAGCAGCATTGATTTCCATTCTCGTTGATCTTTGGGAGACAGCAAAGGCAATGGCATTGGCATACTGAAGAGGAGTCAAATTAATCTGTTCAGCACTTACATTTCCAGTTGCCTTAAATGGAGATAAAGGCCTCTCTACCTCAGGCTTAAATTGGACTTTCCTTATGGAGAATGGCTTGCTGCAATGAATATCCTCATCCCTTTCAGTGGGGGGAACCAAGGCTTTGGGGTGGGGCTGCATAAGCATTGTTATAAAGGGAGCATTTAGAGCAGGGTATCAAAATACAAAATACATATAGGTTTCTGGATATCAATGAACCTTCAGAACAGGAAATAGACTAAGAAGGTCAGTGTAATAACGAGTTGAAAATGGCTTCTAAGGCCTAAGATTCTACTTTAGTGAGGGTTTGCTACCTGCTATAAACTAGGCTTAGACATCATTCCCAGAACAATAAGCAATGCAGAAATGACCTGTACAATATCATTTAATGGATTTTTATTCAGGGGTGTTGGTATGTACATAGCATGCGTGTGAGAGAACGTCATGCTCGGGGAAAAAAATCAGAGTGGAGGATTGCCAGCACTAGAGGCTGAGGTCTCCCATTTATCCACAGAACGCACGCACGTTTCTGCAGGCTGGCCAATTTTGCATCCTTTCTGGCCAGAGCATAGTTCATTCTTCATGCCTATTAATTCTTTCTTACGATTGCCAGTGAGAGTGCCAGTTGGCTCTGAGAGTTGCTGCGGTTTGGTGGCCTTTAATATTTCAGGATAGGAAAGAAACCACTTTTGTTTAATCAATAATTAAAACAAATTAAGTAGATTGTTTCACATACTGATTTTTCTACCAGTCTCACCAGGAGACGCATCTATTCTTGAATCCAGATCATTTTACGTATAAAGCTCCTGACTTTTGAACTTGGATATAAATTATGCAGGCAGAGAATAACTGTTTTGTGTGCAATGCTTTTATTTTCACTACCATTTGAGATTCTGCCCAAGTGGGGCAGAGTAGGGAGAGGAATTCAAGTGATCATCCCTTTCACAGCAAGATGGGACTAAGCCTGCGCGTCATCACTGTAATAAGCAAAAGTCAAAGGACATTTTATGTTTGCCCCAGCGTATTTCGTTTTGCCCATTTAGCAAAATGATGTGAAGTGTTCACATTAGTATTGGGAAGAGCTAGTCTGGTCTTTAGGCAAAAGTCTCACTCATTTTGGTGGCAGTTGCATATGTGCAGCAGTTGCAAGACCTGACCCCGGTTAGTGGAAGAAGGATCTTTGGTTCATTTGCTGTGAAAAACAACATATTAAAAATTAAACAGCAACTTTGACACCTTGTTAATTCAGATAAAATGTTAGTTCATTTACTAGGAGCTGTTTCAGAATTTTCCCCCTCTCCTACCACTTTTTTTTTTTTTCCTGAAGAACTGGAAAAAGGCTGTTGCTGACTGGTTGTTCAATAGCATGGCATTTTGTGTTGTGTGATGGTGAGTTTGTCCTGTCAGATCTACTTTGGTTGACAACCAAGTCTTTGGGGTGCTTTCCAGTAAATCCCTTTGAATATGTACAGACCTGTACTTTGCAGATAAGGGGCCAGAACAGTTCTGCCAAAGGCAATAGGAAGTGTTTGAGCATGGTAGTATAAGGAGACTTGCAAGTCTGACCCTTGTTTTTTGCAGCTTTAATGCAGAATGCATAGGTTTCTAAAGTCCCTAAAGTGCTTGGCTAGTCCCTCATTTATCAATGCAATGGAGATTTCAGTCTGCTTAAAATAATCTTCATGTTCAACTGCTGCTTTTGTACATAGTTTTGTAATTTTTTTGACAGTGAATTTGAAGTTGGAAAAAAAATTCTTGGCTAGTAAACTGGTGGTAGAAATGAATAAGTATGCAGCTGTTGATGTGTCCTTTGGGAGAGGACAAATAAAGCCCCATGTTTCATCCTCAGTCATAGATCTTTAGAACTGAGGAAAATCACCCATGGTTGGAAAGGGAAAAAAAAGTTTACTTTAGTACTTTAGACCTAGTCAGGCATTTTCTGGTAATATTTTTTATGCAGTTTCCACAAACTCAAAACCTTAATATAGTAATAGATAAAAAAAATCCTCAACATTTCTCAGATAAATCAAAATAACTGTTTTGCTTTGGTTTGGGATGGCACGAATTAAGACATTCCAGGTTGTTGAAGGGAATAATAAATGTTAGGCCTGGGGTCATTTTAATGTCAGGTGGCCTCAGTGGTGGTGTAGTTCAGGTGCCTCCAGCAGCCAGGGGCCCCTACAGGCTGGACAACGTGGCTTATGAATAAAGATGCCTTATCTCCCAAGTGTTTCTCACTGATAAATGGTGCATAACGAGCACAACTTGTCAAGTGTATTGATTTGGTGTGGAAGATTAATAAGTTACTATTAATCAGCTGTTTTCAAGAGGAGCCGGGAGTGGCAGATTTACCTATGCTGTGTTTCATATTGACATTCCCGTTAGGTGAAATCCAGACAAGATGTAAACACTGACTTTTCTGTGGATGCTACGGGGCTACAACCTACAGTGGCATGAATGATGGCATATGTTACATTAATTTTCAGTACCCACTGGGTGTGTCTACACAAGACGCTAAATGTGCAGCAGATTAATTCTACTGCGCATTAGCATGGCAGACAATTCAACTACTCATTCGCATAGTTTTTAATCTACTGTGCATTAGCATCACAAACAAGCATGTGCCGGTGCTACTGCACAGTAGCACCAATTATGGAACATTAAATTAGTACTTATTATTACAGGTACTAAACTTAATGCGCTGTAATTATGCTTTATTAATGAACATGTAGACATGCCTTCTAATTACCAGTTTTGTGCAGTTTATGCTGTTTTGCTCTGAGTCTGCATTTTCTACCTGGTGATCATATGCTGTGTAAATTCCACTAATGTTCACAACATTGTCGTCATATATCCCAGATTACATACAAATATTTAAAAAAAAGCCTAATATATTTGGGTATTTTAAAAAGAATGGACTAATCCATCTGGGATGTTAACTCAGTTAAGTCTGGGATTAATTTGATCTACTGCGGTAACTTACATAATAGCAAAAATAATTCCTATCGCTAAATCTCACTGTCAGTTTAAAAGCAAACTGAATTAGTTTGCATTAACCATTCTTTAGCTGTTAGGATAACCAGGATTGGTACAATTCTTCCAATGAGAGTTTCAGATAGTTTTATTTTTCATGTCCTGTGAGAGAACATTTGTGTAGGGAAGATCTGGAGTGGGGGTGTCAAACATGCCCTTTGCCTCAGGATACATCTGGATCATGGGCTTCTTTGTGGGCAGATTCAGCAGGGGGCACATGGTGGTGGCGGTGGAGCTGGTGGCGCACACACCCACATCCCATAGCCCACTAGTAGCGCAGAATGCAACAACTCCACACCCTTGATTTAGAGTACTGAGATAACGCCAAGGAATGGACATTGCCATGTCTTACATTTGAAACAGGAGTGTCCATTATTTGGGGTGTTTTTTCTCCTGCGCTTCTCATCCTGCTTACCCCGTTCGAGAGGCTGTTTCCTTTAGTCCCTCCCCATTTTTCCTATCCACAAAAATACACAGAGCTAGCCAAATCCAGTGTCTTCAGCAAAATTATCTCAGAGATAAATTTGGTCCCAAATGCTTTATTCTCCTGAAGAATTTAAGATGACGCAAAAGCATCAGGCAAGAAGAATTAGAGATTTAATCTTCTTTTGGTGACAGAGGTCTTTATCAGTCATCTTCTGTATTTGTAATTTTGCAGCTGTTCAAAGTTGTGCTATGGATGGATTGATCAGCCGCTAAAGGATTCCTCTAAAGCTCAGTACCATTAGGACTGGGGAGTACTGCAGCTGGTACAGACAGCAGGACTCAGTTTAACGGATTAATGAAATGAGTAAGCAGCATTACATGAGGCTCCTGGATGTCCTACCTTTTGCCTGTAATCTTAGTTCCACAAGCACTTTTTTGCTTTATCACTCATTTCAGGGTGCTAGGGAGTACAGCCCATGCCTGTATTCTGGAGACCAAAGTTTAAGTTGGTCTTTAGGTTAGCCAAAATCTTGGGTTAAAAGGCACATTGGGTTTAATTAGCATGATTTACCTTTGGTAAAGCCTATGTTTCATTTATCCCCATCTCTTTAACTGTCCTTTCCTTCCAGATCTATTTTAGTGCCTTTCATGAGGTCAGACTAGGAAGTTCCTTATTGTCCAGATTATTCCTCCACCTCCCCCATATACACATCTCGGATATTGGCACTATGGGTGTTTTTATACATGTTCCAGGAGGGGGGCACTTTAATTAGAGTGGCTTTCAGAGCATGTCTTGTGTATCAGCATCCCTACGCTTCAA